GGGGGGGGGGGGGGGGGTATCACCTTCCCTCACCACCACCCTCCGCGCCCCGTCTCCGCGGTAACGGCGGGGCCGGCGCAGGACGCCCGGTTGCCCGGGCCACGGAGAAGCCGCCGGGGCTGGGCAGGACGGGCAGGACCGGCTCCTCGGCGGCCCGGGGCTCGGTGTCGGGGCGCCGTTTGGAGAGGGAGCCAGCCCCGCGGGCGGAGGAGCGGGCCCCTCGGCGCCATGTCTCAGGCGTGAGTAGAGAGAGGGGCGCGGGGGGCCTGGCGGGGGCGAGGGGGTGCCCGGGTGAAAACACCCCTGAAGGGGGTAAAATAATAATAATAATTAAAAAAATAAAGACATTACTTCCCCCCCCACTCCTTCCACGTACCGCCAGAGAGGACAAAGCGGGGACTAAAAGCGGTGTCACCGGTTCCGCCGGGGCTGGGCCTGGTGTGGGGCCTGGTGTGAGGCCTGGGCGGCCCGGGCTGGCGGGGCAGGCCATGGCGGCGGGGCTGAGGGGAGGGGGCGGGATTCAGCAAGCCCTTAGGCCAATATTAATATTATTCCCACTCAAGAACACCAAGCCCCTTTTCCCCAGGAATAATCACCAAGGTACCAAGGCTTCTATATTAAGAAAGGGTTACCGCTGCTGCGCTGCAGAGTTGGGAAGCCAAACTGTGAGCATCTTTCTTGAGTGTATCCCTCAGGATTTTCCCCGTTGGCTGCCTCCATGTCCAGCAGCACAAAACCCTGGGCATGGACAACCCAGTTTGGGGCAGCTCTTGTTCCCGGTTCTGAGCTGGATGGGGCTTGCTCAAGTGCACTAAAATAATAATACATTGGAAAGGGGGGGGACACCAAAAAAAAACCCCTCAGGCAGTATTTGGTGCCTGCTGCTGCCGACCTAATCAAACCTGACAATATCCACCCTGCTGCCCCAGCAGCTGGTGAGCACAGCCAGCCTTTGCTGGCTTCTTACCCGTGGTCTTCTCCTCCACCATCAGCCGTAGCCGTCTTGAAGCCTTCGGTTTCTTTTGCTCAGCATCCTCTTTCCAAACTCTTTGCCACGTCAAAGCCCCCAGGCTTTCAAATGTCCTTCCAGCCTCAGAACTAGAGCAGCTCTCCTGGGTCACCTCCATGGTGGGTCTCCTCTAGCCAAGCCTCCAGCCACCTGCCTCAAAGAGTTTTAAGTTTCCAGCCAGACGGCGTCCTTTGCCTCGCTCCTTGGCTTCTGAAAGAAGGGTGAGCTGAGAGGATTCAAGAAGAACATCACCGAGGGCACAACGGAGACAGTCTGGGGGCTGTGTCCAAGAACACAGACCCAGCACAGCCTCCAGCAGCCGTAAATTAGCCCCGCAGTCACTCGCCTTAGCAGGCGTTTAGGCCAATATTAATATTATTCCCACTCAAGAACACCAAGCCCCTTTTCTCCAGGGATAATCACCAAGATACCGAGGCCCCTATATTAAGAAAGCGTTGCTGCTGCTGCACTGCAGAATTGGGAAGCCAAACCATGAGCGTCTTTCTTGAGTGTATCCCTCAGGATTTTCCCCATTCGCTGCCTCCAGGTCCAGCAGCACAAAACCCTGGGCATGGACAACCCAGTTTGGGGCAGCTCTTGTTCCCGGTTCTGAGCTGGATGGGGCTTGCTCAAGTGCACTAAAATAATAATACATTGGAAAGGGGGGGGACACCAAAAAAAAACCCCTCAGGCAGTATTTGGTGCCTGCTGCTGCCGACCTAATCAAACCTGACAATATCCACCCTGCTGCCCCAGCAGCTGGTGAGCACAGCCAGCCTTTGCTGGCTTCTTACCCGTGGTCTTCTCCTCCACCATCAGCCGTAGCCGTCTTGAAGCCTTCGGTTTCTTTTGCTCAGCATCCTCTTTCCAAACTCTTTGCCACGTCAAAGCCCCCAGGCTTTCAAATGTCCTTCCAGCCTCAGAACTAGAGCAGCTCTCCTGGGTCACCTCCATGGTGGGTCTCCTCTAGCCAAGCCTCCAGCCACCTGCCTCAACCCAGGAATAATCACCAAGGTACCAAGGCTTCTATATTAAGAAAGGGTTACCGCTGCTGCGCTGCAGAGTTGGGAAGCCAAACTGTGAGCATCTTTCTTGAGTGTATCCCTCAGGATTTTCCCCATTCGCTGCCTCCAGGTCCAGCAGCACAAAACCCTGGGCATGGACAACCCAGTTTGGGGCAGCTCTTGTTCCCGGTTCTGAGCTGGATGGGGCTTGCTCAAGTGCACTAAAATAATAATACATTGGAAAGGGGGGGGACACCAAAAAAAAACCCCTCAGGCAGTATTTGGTGCCTGCTGCTGCCGACCTAATCAAACCTGACAATATCCACCCTGCTGCCCCAGCAGCTGGTGAGCACAGCCAGCCTTTGCTGGCTTCTTACCCGTGGTCTTCTCCTCCACCATCAGCCGTAGCCGTCTTGAAGCCTTCGGTTTCTTTTGCTCAGCATCCTCTTTCCAAACTCTTTGCCACGTCAAAGCCCCCAGGCTTTCAAATGTCCTTCCAGCCTCAGAACTAGAGCAGCTCTCCTGGGTCACCTCCATGGTGGGTCTCCTCTAGCCAAGCCTCCAGCCACCTGCCTCAAAGAGTTTTAAGTTTCCAGCCAGACGGCGTCCTTTGCCTCGCTCCTTGGCTTCTGAAAGAAGGGTGAGCTGAGAGGATTCAAGAAGAACATCACCGAGGGCACAACGGAGACAGTCTGGGGGCTGTGTCCAAGAACACAGACCCAGCATAGCCTCCAGCAGCCGTAAATTTGAGGAAGGTTTGGGTTAGGTCCCCGGCTAACCCCGTGCAGGGCTTAGTTTGGAACAGCACTAATCGTGCCTTACAGTGGCACGGTGGCTCAGTTAAGAGAAGTTCACAAAGTAATGAACAGTTATTTAAATTGCTTTGTTTAAAAGAAAAAAGGAGAGAAAAAAACCCCAACAACAAAAAAAAACCCAAACCACAAAACTAACATTTGACCTCTTCCCAAGAAAGTTCATGCAGAATCTGTCATTCCTACTGAGTGTCTGAATCGTGGCTGCTGTTACTTGAGTTAGGTTAACACCAAAGGAATTAAGTACAGTTGGAAAATACTTGTGCCTCAACTGTTTGGCTTAACTCAGTTTAATTTTAATAGAGACAGGGCTCTTTAGCATTTTCTATAGCATTGCCAGCACTGAATAGCAAACCCGTATAAACACGATACACGTCTCCTCACCGCGTGACAAAAAAAAATAAAATACACAGTTCTGTTTCCAAATGAGGTAGTGATGCTGGTAAGGGACTCCAATGTGACGTTGATGCTGCCTGGCTCACTTAGCTATAATCACTCTATAGCTCTGCACAGCATGACATTTATAGCTAGGCTAATCCAGTCCTTCGTAAACACAAGTCTGAATATACTAAAGTTCATCAACAACTGCATCTATAGAGCTTGAGTTAAGCAACAGGCTGGGTAGTTTCATTTACTGTATTCCACACCTCTCAGTGTACCAAGTTTTCTGGACAGTTTGTGCTTTTCTTTATTGCCCCCGGCAACTGGATTCATGTTATCACCTGAGAATCTCAGCATCCCTTATTAAAAATAAAAAATTATAAACAGAAAAAAAGGTGAATCACAAATGCTTCTAAGCCATAAGGAAGATAAAAAGTACTAAACCCCTCAGGCAGTATTTGGTGCCTGCTGCTGCCGACCTAATCAAACCTGACAATATCCACCCTGCTGCCCCAGCAGCTGGTGAGCACAGCCAGCCTTTGCTGGCTTCTTACCCGTGGTCTTCTCCTCCACCATCAGCCGTAGCCGTCTTGAAGCCTTCGGTTTCTTTTGCTCAGCATCCTCTTTCCAAACTCTTTGCCACGTCAAAGCCCCCAGGCTTTCAAATGTCCTTCCAGCCTCAGAACTAGAGCAGCTCTCCTGGGTCACCTCCATGGTGGGTCTCCTCTAGCCAAGCCTCCAGCCACCTGCCTCAAAGAGTTTTAAGTTTCCAGCCAGACGGCGTCCTTTGCCTCGCTCCTTGGCTTCTGAAAGAAGGGTGAGCTGAGAGGATTCAAGAAGAACATCACCGAGGGCACAACGGAGACAGTCTGGGGGCTGTGTCCAAGAACACAGACCCAGCACAGCCTCCAGCAGCCGTAAATTTGAGGAAGGTTTGGGTTAGGTCCCCGGCTAACCCCGTGCAGGGCTTAGTTTGGAACAGCACTAATCGTGCCTTACAGTGGCACGGTGGCTCAGTTAAGAGAAGTTCACAAAGTAATGAACAGTTATTTAAATTGCTTTGTTTAAAAGAAAAAAGGAGAGAAAAAAACCCCAACAACAAAAAAAAACCCAAACCACAAAACTAACATTTGACCTCTTCCCAAGAAAGTTCATGCAGAATCTGTCATTCCTACTGAGTGTCTGAATCGTGGCTGCTGTTACTTGAGTTAGGTTAACACCAAAGGAATTAAGTACAGTTGGAAAATACTTGTGCCTCAACTGTTTGGCTTAACTCAGTTTAATTTTAATAGAGACAGGGCTCTTTAGCATTTTCTATAGCATTGCCAGCACTGAATAGCAAACCCGTATAAACACGATACACGTCTCCTCACCGCGTGACAAAAAAAAATAAAATACACAGTTCTGTTTCCAAATGAGGTAGTGATGCTGGTAAGGGACTCCAATGTGACGTTGATGCTGCCTGGCTCACTTAGCTATAATCACTCTATAGCTCTGCACAGCATGACATTTATAGCTAGGCTAATCCAGTCCTTCGTAAACACAAGTCTGAATATACTAAAGTTCATCAACAACTGCATCTATAGAGCTTGAGTTAAGCAACAGGCTGGGTAGTTTCATTTACTGTATTCCACACCTCTCAGTGTACCAAGTTTTCTGGACAGTTTGTGCTTTTCTTTATTGCCCCCGGCAACTGGATTCATGTTATCACCTGAGAATCTCAGCATCCCTTATTAAAAATAAAAAATTATAAACAGAAAAAAAGGTGAATCACAAATGCTTCTAAGCCATAAGGAAGATAAAAAGTACTAAATTCTGACCTAAACATACACAGCCTTAAAGGTTTAATGTCATTACTTTTAAATGGTTGGGGTTGACAGTGCTGGCAGATCCATAAAAAAAAAATTTATCTTGATGTTTACTGTTCACAGCCTTGTGAGTTGCAATCAGTGCCAGTAGTTAGAAAATAGGAGCACGCTTTCCTTTGGTCCTGGACTATCTTGGTTTGCAAGGTACAGCTGAGTTAGTTGTTA